TGACTGAGAAGTCTCGGGGAGCCCAGTTCTTTTTGTCCGCCGCGGTTTTTTATCCATAAAAGTAAGTGGAGGTGGGAAGTGGGAAGGGAAGGCCGGGAATTCAGCCCCCACCCCCAAAAGAAGGGACCCTAAAGAATAGCCCGCCACAAGCCAGGCCACAAGCCTCATCGCCGCCGGTTTCCGTGGACGTTAGTTAGCCCGTTTGGTTTCAACAGCGCTATCTACCTTTTCTTCCACTCGGGAGCTTAGGCTGGGGGAGAGGACTAGAGGAGAAAGACGTCCCCACGCGGGGAAAATATTAAGCGGCGGGGACGTTAAAGGGCTGTCAACCCCGCGGTGCTTTCAGTTTACAACCGCGGGGCCTTGCAGGGGAGGAGAAAGCGGCTTCAGCAATTCCCCGGAAGAGGGAGTGGGAGTTTGGAGAGGGGGGGGAACGGATTCTTTTTTAAATCCGAACTTGACGGTGTTTATTGAGATAACTGGGCAACCGGGGCCGAAGGAATGCGCCCCAAGGGTGGCGAGTCGGAGCGGAGGGGGGCGAGTGGGATATCTTTTGATTCCTTGGGGGAATGGGTGTCTTTAGCTCCAGAGCCTCGGGAGAGATCGCTGAAGAAGGTTGGTTTCTCTGGCTCTCCTCCGGTTCCACCTTCTCCTCCAGTGGTTCCCAAGCCTGAATCCAGCGGCTGTTAGGGGAATTCTGGGAACCCCCCTGTGGGTTGTGGGTGTTGCGGTTGCTTCCACGGATCCCTGGCCTAGGCCTCGAGTGGGCAAGTAGACCAGGTTGGGAGCTGTTAAGGGACAAACGGAAGTGTAGGACTAAAGTGCTGGCGGCGGCGGCTTAGAGGGGGCTACCCGGGTTTTAAGACTTTGAGTCCGTCTCTTAAATTAGGGAAAAGTTTTTTTCCCCCGGGAGCTCAAAGAAAGAATCGGGGGAGCACAGAATTCGGAATGCCCCCAGTTTATATCCAGATCAGACCGATGCGGGGACTGCGTACGACTGTGTGTGTGTGGGGGGGCTAAAGGAAGGAGGCAAGAAGAACTGTGCAACCGTGCGTGTGAGTGTGCACTGATGTGCAAGTGTGCGCTAGGGGGATATAGGTAGCTGGCTGCTCGCCAAATGTCAGCTTTTTCTACCTAACAAAACTGGCAGAAATCGCTTAGAAAATAATAATTCTTCCGTGTCATATTTAAAATGAGGATCGATAAAATCTCCAGAGGGCTTCACGCTACTCTTTTTTCCCATGCACGTCACAGATGACAATTGTTTTTTTAAAAAAAACA